ATCAACCACTGGTTTACCTCACCAAATGTTGGGTTGTCTGTTCAGTATCAACCACTGGTTTACCTCACCACATGCTGGATTGTATGTTCAGTATCAACCACTAGTTTACCTCACCACATGCTGGGTTGTATGTTCAGTATCAACCACTGGTTAACCTCTCCCATGCTGGGTTGTATGTTCAGTATCAACCACTGGTTTACCTCACCACATGCTGGTTTGTATGTTCAGTATCAACCACTAGTTTACGTCTCCTATGCTGGGTAGTATGTTCAGTATCAACCACTGGTTAACCTCTCCCATGCTGGGTTGTATGTTCAGTATCAACCACTGGTTTACCTTCACATGTTGTGTTGTATTTTCAGTATCAACCACTGGTTTACCTCTCACATGCTGGGTTGTATGTTAGGTAGAGGTGACAGTGACCCGGTCGTCACGGGTACTGCAAATCACTCGTAGAATTGATTTTCAGGATAAGACTATATATTCAAATCCCAGGTTACCGTGTGATCGATCATACGTTTGTTTGATCCATGCATACTCTTGTGATAAACGTGATAAGACTTTAGGCTTTCCTCCCTTTTAAACTCATACTGACATATATAAACATGGAAGATGTCAGTGGCTTATTTTTGCTTCGATTTCATCATAAGTTTAGATGATCAGTATGTTAATGTTTCCATCTGTATGGGGGAATGTAAGACCATTCTGTACCTTGGAGTTTGTCATCCGTGATCTATATGTCTTGTTTCCTTCTATGTGGATTGACATAGGAGCACTCTGGACCTTGGAGTTTGTCATTAGTTCAGATGATCTATATGTCTTGTGTCTTTCTATGTGGATGGACATAGGAGTACTCTGGACCTTGGAGTTTGTCATTAGTTTAGATGATCTATATGTCTTGTATCCTTCTATATGGATTGCCATAGGAGCACTCTGGACCTTGGAGTTTGTCATTAGTTTAGATGATCTATTTGTCTTGTTTCCTTCTATATGGATTGACATAGGAGTACTCTGGACCTTGGAGTTTGTCATTAGTTTAGATGATCCATATGTCTTGTTTCCTTCTATATGGATGGACATAGGAGCACTCTGGACCTTGGAGTTTGTCATTAGTTCAGATGATCTATATGTCTTGTTTCCTTCTATATGGATTGACATAGGAACACTCTGGACCTTGGAGTTTGTCATTAGTTTAGATGATCTATATGTCTTGTTTCCTTCTGTATGGATGGATACAGGAGCACTCTGGACCTTTGTGTTTGTCATTAGTTTAGATGATCTATATGTCTTGTTTCCTTCTATATGGATTGACATAGGAGCACTCTGGACCTTTGTGTTTGTCATTAGTTCAGATGATCTATTTGTCTTGTTTCCTTCTATATGGATGGATACAGGAGCACTCTGGACCTTGGAGTTTGTCATTAGTTCAGATGATCTATTTGTCTTGTTTCCTTCTATATGGATGGACATAGGAGTACTCTGGACCTTTGTGTTTGTCATTAGTTTAGATGATCTATATGTCTTGTTTCCTTCTATATGGATTGACATAGGAGCACTCTGGACCTTTGTGTTTGTCATTAGTTCAGATGATCTATTTGTCTTGTTTCCTTCTATATGGATGGATACAGGAGCACTCTGGACCTTGGAGTTTGTCATTAGTTCAGATGATCTATTTGTCTTGTTTCCTTCTATATGGATGGACATAGGAGTACTCTGGACCTTTGTGTTTGTCATTAGTTTAGATGATCTATATGTCTTGTTTCCTTCTATATGGATGGACATAGGAGTACTCTGGACCTTGGAGTTTGTCATTAGATTAGATGATCTATTTGTCTTGTTTCCTTCTATATGGATGGACATAGGAGCACTCTGGACCTTTGTGTTTGTCATTAGTTCAGATGATCTATACGTCTTGTTTCCTTCTATATGGATAGACATACGAGCACTCTGGACCTTGGAGTTTGTCATTAGTTCAGATGATCTATTTGTCTTGTTTCCTTCTATATGGATGGACATAGGAGTACTCTAGACCTTTGATTTTGTCATTAGCTCAGATGATCTATTTGTCTTGTTTCCTTCTGAATGGGTGGACATTGGAACACACTGGGTTGTCATTATAAGTATGTCCATGAAAGACATTCATAAAGCAGAACAATGAAACAAACGTACACACGAATCTGAAACAGTGCAGTCTGTAACTTTTTTATTTCATACTAAAATACATATAATTAACAATAGATCTAGATTAACCACAACAATCATCCTACAATAAAACAAACTGCAATGCATGAAGTACCAGCATATGCATAAATAATTTTTTGCTGACATAACAACAAATGGCAACAAAAACGTTGCTTAAAAAGAAGGCTAAACTACAATTTAACTTATCCAAACCAATTTAAAAATCAGCTCGACAGTCTTCAAACAAACACACATAAATCAAATTTTTCTAAAACATATCACAGACTTCATACAATTCATAGTTTGTTAGAGCAAAATGGTATTTTTAATGGCTGGGCTTTCACAGAGAAATAAATAATAATCTGAAATAACAGCTGTTTTTATTTCTGTTTGTTTGTTTGTTTCACGCCGCACTCAGCAATATCCCAGCTGTAAATAATCAAGTATGGACCAGACAATCGAGGTACTGACATCATGTGCATTGATCTACGCAATTGGGATATGATGACATGCATCAACCAAGTCAGTGAGCATGACCACCTGAATCTCTAAGTCGCTAAGTTCCTGAAGACCATTTCTAAACGAGATCTTCTCAGGTCGTTTTCCTTACTGATTTATTTGCCAACTACTTCCAGTACTGAATGTGAGTGAGTAAATCTTGTTTACCTCCACAGCAAGAAATAAACATGCCTTAAGTTGTGGGTTATTATTATCTAGTTTCGGCCATGCAAACCAGAGACCGATGTATGTTCAAGGATCCAAACCAGTTAGGCACGAAGTCACCGAGACTTATCACCATTTTAGCTGTTTGTTAGGATAAGCGTGAGGTACAGCCAATTTATTGCTTATAACCCGATTTTAACAGGGGCAGGGATGAGCAAAGGAAGCATCAAAGTAGGCAAATAGTTTAAAGTGCTAAAACTTTCGATTTTCAGTTAATGTTTTTGAGAAAAGTTGAATTGTTTTGTCATCCATAAACCAAGTAATCTAACAAATATAAAGTTGTGTTGACTCATATTATTGCATTTGATTTCTGATGATCTCATAAAATAAAATGCATTTCTGAAAAAAAAACAATATACAAGATTCAAAATGTTATTGATGTGATTAAGGTGCTCCACATGTGAAATGGCAGTGGTTTACGCGAAGGGCTAATGCATATATACATGAATGTTGAGTAGGTTAGGGATCTATATAACAGTCTTAATACCTACACGTGGACTGGTCATCATTTTAACAGTAGAACAATGGGGATGTCTGTTCTTAAAAGAAAACAACTCATAATACCTCAACTAAACTAATACCTTGTATTAACTGATGACGAGGATACTGACTGTGAATCATGATACTGTGATGCACTCTGCATCCTTTGCTGATGAGCACATCCAGTGTATTATCAACACGTGCTACCACACACAGTGTTCGAAACGTATCTGTTTTAGTATCACATATATTATCTAACACATCAAATTGATTTAATGACTAACATCTTCTTTAAAAACGACGATGATCATGACTGTTATTGTTTAACAAACAACACTAAATAACACTAATTCTGTCATCAGAACATTATCTTGCATCTAACATTCCCCTTAAGGAACAGTATGTGGAGTATTATACTTTCAAGTCATAGAGCCCCATATGATATACATCAAGGATACCAACATAGTGCCCACTTCTCCCAAGGAGAATACATAGAAGATACCATGTGTAAGACAGATTCTGATATCAAATGTAGTCAAAATCAGAATTTGATATTAACATACATACAATATTGTTATTTTTACTTAATCTTCTAATTTCCACACATATTACCAAAAGGTAAGTGAGTGGGTGAGTTGGGTTTACTGTCGCTTTCAACAGCACTATCGCAGTGTGCCAGATTAATGTAGGAGGAAAGCCCGAGGTGATACAGGTCTCAGACGTTTACCACTTCGGTGAAACCCACGAGCATGGGTATGGTGCTGACAAACCCAGAAACATAATCGGGGAAACCAGGATTCGAACCCATAATCATAGGTTTCTGGTGTGCCTAAGGGATGCAGCTCTGCACAGCCAATAGCGGCGCCTTATAATAAGATGACTGGGCCACCCATGCCCACTTAAAGGTAAGGATAGGGTGGAGAGCAACCTGTGCCTTGGTAAACAATGCTGTGTGACGTCTCCCAAACATCACTGGCACAATGTGCCGGCAACAGTCTTCTAGCCACAGTCAGTAATAGACATTTATGCATAAGTGGAAACCATGAACTTTAGGAAATCAATTTGTTCATGAAGGTTGATAATGTTTGCTATGAGGGTCAATATGAATATGCCCTGTCAGAGATTTATTTGCAAATATAAGATAGCTACACGATAACTGCAAAGAATAGTGAAGAATGAAGCCTTGCTTATATAACGATAAAACATTGTTCTATCATGACCTCATATGTCAAGATTCGAACATGCGCTCACAACTTGAAGACATCGTATATATGACGTTATGTTTGAGAGGGGAGTGTCTAGTGAGTTGTTTCTCAAAGATGTAGCTGGGCAACACAGATTAACGCGATGACCCAACGATCATATCCCAAAACGGGAGATATATGGTAATTGTTATTTGGAGAAAAGGTACAGATAATCGACGTGAGGATAGTGAGAATATGTGGGAAATACCCATAAAATGGACCTTCTATTGAGGGAGTCATCATTATTTGAATACAGGTAAATATTTTTAAAGCTCGTACATTTTATCATCATTCTTAAAAAGGCCATACATAATGTTGATATCTCATATAAGAAATAAACGAGTCGTGGTCATTGTTCATCATTCAATAAAACACTGCAGGGAAAAAAAAACATGGGGGGGGGGCAGTGTTTTATTGTACGATAAACAACAACCACGAGTCCTTTTTTACCTAAATGTTCTACAAGCTACCATAATGAACAGGGTGCAAGATATCACATTTGCCATCTAATAATGAGATTCATACAACTGATGGTTAACTGGTCAACACTTATGATCCACCGCTGATTAGGATAGGTAAAATATATTACACATATTGTCAGAGAAGTACATATCTTGGCAAAAATATTGCATCTTTTGCGCAGAAAAAAGGTCAGCCTTTCAGAGGATTCGTTGAAATATTGTGATACTAACGCAGTACACCATCAATGCTTCAATGTCAGTATTAGGGCCAGGTACTAACAGAGTATACCATCAATGCTTCAATGTCAGTATTAGGGCCAGGTACTAACGGAGTATACCATCAATGCTTCAATGTCAGTATTAGGGCCAGGTACCAGTGCAATAGACCATCAATACTTCAATGTCAGTATTAGGGCCAGTACTAACGGAGTATACCATGAATGCTTCAATGTCAGTATTAGGGCCAGTACTAACGGAGTATACCATCAATTCTTCAATGTCAATATTAGGGCCAGGTACCAGTGCAATAGACCATCAATACTTCAATGTCAGTATTAGGGCCAGTACTAACGGAGTATACCATCAATGTTTCAATGTCAGTATTAGGGCCAGGTACCAGTGCAATAGACCATCAATACTTCAATGTCAGTATTAGGGCCAGTACTAACGGAGTATACCATCAATGCTTCAATGTCAGTATTAGGGCCAGGTACTAATGGAGTATACCATCAATGCTTCAATGTCAGTACTAGGGCCAGGTACCAGTGCAATTGACCATCGATACTTCAATGTCAGTACCAGGTCCAGGTAATAGTCCATTGAATATTTCAATGTCAATATTAGGTCAGAGCACTAGTTAAGTATAAATGCTTCAATGCCAGTATTGTCCCCAGGTGCATCTAGTGAAATGTTTCAATGACATAAGTAGGCCTTTATACTAACACAGTGGACCATCAATGCTTCCACGTCACTAATAAGGTCAATGTGCTCTTTTACATGGCCATTACTTCCAAGAGGACTTTAATACTGAATTACCAATGTGTCCGATCCATGATAGTACATGCTTATTTCAGTGTACTGTTTCCACTCAGTACTTGGAGAAGGGGCCTGGTTCGTGTGGCAGCAACACTCGGTGTGGGTAGAAGGAGTGGTCCACTGAGTAGTGGAGCAGGTTTGTCAGACTTGACATGTACATGTCAGCAAACCGGGCCAGGCGTCGAGTGAAGTAAGTTGGATTGTGGTATGTCCGAAACAGACTGCCAAACCGTGGATTGAACACGCCTTTTGTGTAGTTTCTGCCACAGAAGTAAAATAATGATTATTAAATTCAACTGATATTATGGAAATGTGAAATATTCATAACATTCAACTCATTGAAAAGATCACATGTTGCAATATACTGACTATGATAAACCAAACTCTAAGCATAGAAATTAACATTCACAAAGAGGTGATTACGAGAACACTGTTTGAAAGACATCTTCATGTTTACTGCAAACCATCAAGAAAGAGGAAAGGAAGTCAAACAGTCTTGCTAAATATATGGAACAAGTATTTTATTTTATTTGCAATGGGTAGAAGGTAGCCCAATGGAATGATGAAGTGAAACTTTGCTGCATTCTTCATTCTCGACATTACAATCTATTCCAAGCCTGGCCCCAGATGGTTTCAGACAGCCTCACCTGAGTTCATCTCTCTCCTTCAGCCATGCCTGTATCACTTCTCTCTGTTCAGGGCTGTCCTGACACTTGGAAATAAACAATACTGTTAGTTGGGTTTCTCAAGATCCACACAACCATCAACCATTTAAAATCATCATAATTTTAGTCTCTACTTCTATATGATTCCACATGTGAAGTACCACATAAATATGCTTTCACATAAACTTAATATCTCATATTCGTCCATTTGGTGACATTCCAAAAGACAAATTTTCGAAAATATCAACTCTCCAAACCATATTACCAATACTTCCTGGATAGAATTGGTTCCTGAGAGTATAAGGTCATAACCATGTAACAACTTTGACTGGTTGGCGAGGGACTTTGATGTGGCTGATTTTGATCATCATGTCCTGATGTTATGGACCGTTGCTCATGCTTTCAGTCACCAGTTTGCCTGGTCCAACTCGATTATTTACAGGCCAATGTGACAAAGCTGTACTATTGCTGACCGTGGCCACAAAAGAAAAACTACATCAAACTATTTCATTGAGTGACCTTAAAAAGTGTCATTGACATTTCACTCAGCCATGACTTATTCAAACAGCTGGTGATTTAGTTCTTTATAGATTATTCTTCACAGATTACAAAATGCTCTGTATTATCAAGAATAAAGCCACATATTTAAGGTTTTCAACATGTTTCTATTTTGAGCTTTGGTGCCATTGACTTTATATGGAGGTCACATCAACACTGATGCAATCCAGGCATCAACAAAGAGGTCATGAGTCCTAAGTTTCCTCAAATGCCAATTTTAAATACTCCAAATATTGTGAACACATGCTCTTTCAGGATGACCTTAACTTCAATATTCCTGAATATCAATACCGTGAATGATTCAACTCAATGAGATAAACAGTGCACTTACCACTACCACTACCACAATTACACATCCTCTACATCTCACCTTGTGGTGCATAAGAAAATAACTATACTCATATGACAAGAATATCTCAACTGATTGTATATCAGACTGCAGGGAGATTGTCAACTCAATGAGATAAACAATGAATATAACAATACTCATATGACAAGAGTATCTCAACTGATTGTATATCAGACTGCAGGGAGATTGTCATTCCAACACTGTATGATTTCTCACCAAGCAGTGTTTAAGAACATAACAATACTCATATGACAAGAATATCTCAACTGATTGTATATCAGACTGCAGGGAGATTGTCACTCTGACACAGTATGATTTCTCACCTTGTGTTGCATAAGAATATAACAATACTCATATGACCAGAATATCTCAACTGATTGTATAACAGACTGCAGGGAGATTGTCACCCTGACACAGTATGATTTCTCACCTTGTTGTGCATAAGAATATAACTATACTCATATGACAAGAATGTCTCAACTGATTGTATGTCAGACTGCAGGGAGATTGTCACTCTGACACAATATGATTTCTCACCTTGTGGTGCATAAGAATATAACTATACTCATATGACCAGAATATCTCAACTTATTGTATATCAGACTGCAGGGAGATTGTCACTCCAACACTGTATGTATTCTCACCTTGTGGTGCATAAGAATATAACTATACTCATATGACAAGAATATCTCAACTGATTGTATATCAGACTGCGGAGAGATTGTCACTCCAACACTGTATGTTTTCTCACATTGTGGTGCATAAGAATATAACAATACTCATATGACAAGAATGTCTAAACTGATTGTATATCAGACTGCAGGGAGATTGTCACCCTGACACAGTATGATTTCTCACCTTGTGTTGCATAAGAATATAACTATACTCATATGACAAGAATGTCTCAACTGATTGTATAACAGACTGCAGGGAGATTGTCACCCTGACACAGTATGATTTCTCACCTTGTGTTGCATAAGAATATAACTATACTCATATGACAAGAATATCTCAATTTATTGTATATCAGACTGCGGGGAGATTGTCACTCCAACACTGTATGTTTTCTCACCTCGTGGTGTGAAAGAACATAACTATACTCATATGACAAGAATATCTCAACTGATTGTATATCAGACTGCAGTGAGATTGTCACTCCAACACTGTATGTTTTCTCACTTTGTGGTGCATAAGAATATAACAATACTCATATGACAAGAATATATCAACTGATTGTATATAAGACTGCAGGGAGATTGTCACCCTGACACAGTATGATTTCTCACCTTGTGGTGCATAAGAATATAACAATTCTCATATGACAAGAATATCTCAACTGATTGTATATAAGACTGTAGGGAGATTGTCACACCAACACTGTACGATTTCTCACATACTGATGCATATAAAGGATATTACAATATTAATAGCATTGTAAATTTTACATCAAATTGTATATGTATATCACAATATATCCTCATCCCATCTCACACCATGCATTTATTCCTGACATCGATTTTGATGTCGACCCTCAGGAAAGGGGTGTCATTGTCGCTCAGATGTCGACCCACAAGTGGAGGGAATCATGTCAATCCTGATGTTGATCCGTAGACAATAAGTATCGATGTCCATCCTTAGAAGATTGGTATCAATGTCGATCTCTTAATCAGCCAGGTGAGGGCCCATTTGCATATCGTTGTCAAAACTGATGGTGGTGTATAGCGATAGTAATAAGACATAGATTTGCAATCCGAATATGATGTGTATCGATCGTAATGGCCAAGCGATGGGTAAAGGTCAGGCGTGTGAAGGTATCGATCCAGAGAGGGAGGGGTATTGATCCCAGCTGTGATGGCAATCCCTATAAACGTTACGTCAATCCCCTGCTGAATGTTGATAGGCATGGTGTTGTGGTTCTTGGTCAGCGCAACAGTCTTCGTCAGTACAATGTCGACCATGTTGATCTTGATGTATGGCATTCTGTGTCACTATCAGTCTGTATCGATGTAGATCTGTAGAATGTTGATCACTCTAACATCGATCCCTCGAATGTAGAACCCTCACATGTCGATCCTGGTCAGAGGGGCGTGATCTATCTCAACGCTTCCTTTCTGTAGGTGAAGGGTGAAGACAAGGCATCAAAGTATGCTGGGGTCCATACTACAGGAGTAGTCCCGGGAGCACTAAAACATCTCAAGGGGGAGCGAGAGATGACAGACAACTTTCAGCTGCGGGTTGGGGAATGCTTGGAGGGTTTGTAGCAGTAGTTGTCACGGTTGCCATGCTTGTCGTGAAGGGACTGTCTTTTGCCAAAACTGTACATATGTCTGTAGTTGTTGTAACATGTGTGCAGGTGACAGTCAACAGTCATTGTCAACTGATAATGAAGTCAGGGTGGACACATGAGGTTGTATTACGACTGCAACAGCAGAGGAAATGGTTGGTTGTGTCACACGTTAGAATTGTTAGACGATGAAGGCCCAAGTTCCACGTCCTAGATGTAAACTGTCTATCGATGTTGCGTTTCTGGCATTTGCCAGAGATCACGAGGACCAACTGGAGAATAAGAACGTCTGAATATCTTGCAGGACGGGTGTTTATCATGATCATTTCCAATAATTGGCCGTAAATGTTTATAAGATGTAAGAGGAAGCCCTTTAATAAAACAAGAGTCAATTCTCTATTATTCAAAACACGTCCCTACACAATGGTGATGAGAAAGAGAGTGATGTGGCAGGGAAAGTCAGATGATAAAGTCGTGTAAGGTGACTTTAGGTCACACACAGGGAATTACAGTGAGTGACCCATTTGTTTGGGGAAGACCATGGTGATGCTGGGATGTGTTTGGGTGAAATGTTTTTAGAAGCTAGAAACTTTGTTCAAGCACGTTTCAACATAAAGGTTAAAAGAAGAAGGAAGAAATGCATAGGATAAGTATATAACTCAGGAATATCTCAACTGATGGTATCTCTGACTATAGTGAGATTGTCACACAGACACAGTGTGTCTCACACATATACATGATGGTATTTCATCTGGTGATGCAGCTGTGTACAGCTAGAAGACACACATACTCATGATGTTAGGATGATATCCCACCTGGTGTTTTTCTATGAGTTGTTGTAGAGATACCAGCCACCTCACAGCTGACTTGTATGCAGGGTCGTTCTGCTGTTCAATCTCAGCCTGAAGTAGACATTAAATGTTATGCATTTCCCATTGTCTAGAAGGAGTTCTTGCTTTCCTGATTTATAGTGATAAATGGGCAGTTTCACTGGGTTTTTATCGTTTGTTATACTTTGCCCTGAGATGTTTCTGAGAGAGAAAGTATGGGTGTGACTGTAGCTATTTTCATATGCCATCACAAGAAGGTTGACTAAAGAAGCAAACACATCGTTGTTTACTGAGTGTCACAAATCTCCATTCTATTATGAGGAATCCCCTGGACTCAATAGCCACCGAAGCTTTGTTTCCAACGTCATGCCTTCACTGACTTTCTCTCACTCATGAGTGTAGTTTGATCAGACAGCTGCATTTAACGAAGCTGTGGTTGCGAATGGGTTCAGGATTTGTATAACAGATGATACTAACATAATGTATGTTCAATACTATGTTGAGTACGTAAAACTTTCCAACTGAGTTGAAATTACAACATGACAGCGTACCTCCAGCTCAGGAATGATAGCACCAGTTCTCCAGCCATGGCGTAGTGAGGGATCCTGGATGTAGAGGAAATTATACCCAGTGAACTTCAACCATCATTGATATTATACATGTCTACAGACAGAACTGTGTTGGCAACATACCAGCCCTGAAATGTCAGCCTGCAAATAATCAAGTCTGGTACAGACAACATTTGATGGGGACCTCTGTAATAACACTGACTGGCATTTGGAAATACTTTTAGTTGCTTCTTTGATTAGAAGGCATTTAGAAGTTGGAGTACTAAGTAAGGATAAGAATTTATGTATAAACAAGTGATGATAACTTGCTTGATAATGGTGTTAGAACCTACACCGAAACGTCGCTCTTAATTGTAATATAGAAGTTGTTTATCCATAAATATTATCTTTACTTAAATTTGATTGATTTTAATGCAAGAAGTATAATACTGTATCACAATGTATTTCTCCCTGTACATGAAGTACTACAGCGTTCGCTCCCTTTATCCGCACTACTCACAGCAAGATCACTGTACACATGGTCACCAAAGTACAGAACCCTTGAGCCGTACCAGCCGGTCATCTGTGTCAGGAGGTAGAAGTTACCCTGGTAAAAGAGATTGCGGTAAGTCACAGAATCAGCATCAAACAATGAAAATAACAACATTCAGTTCTTTGGTTGACCAGTAGTACATTCATTATCAGTACTTCAGACTGCAGGCAACAAACATAAAGACAAACTCCCTTGCCAGGTCAACGAAACTAGGATGTTGATCTGGAGATACCTGCTGTTTCGTTCCAGTGAACTAAACCATGCATCATTACCATATTACCACATCTTGTCCCAAAAAACACAGCGGTGTAGAAGGGGGTGCTCATTATACACAAAGACATTACCATGAGCATGTAACACCTGAAATACCATGTCAACAAATCCGTACTGAAGTATGCAAATTAATCATGTAGTAACACTGTCTTGTTTCAAAAATGTTCATTGTATATCTGGACTTATGTTTGTAACCAGCGTCCTACCATAGATCTGATTCCTACATATATAGTAAAGCTGCAATGAAAACAACATGATATTGAAATATATTATTCCTGATAAAATAACAGTTTCAAATACAATTCTGATGATCATTGCATAAAACAAATGTAACTTATATTATTGGGTAATTTCTAACCGATTCATCGGTAGAGTGGGAGAAAACGGGTGTACAACTGATTGCTCTTACTGGCTTAGTTTACAATGGTTTACAAGAAATGCACACGATAATCTTAATGTCTGCATATAAAACAATACCTAGTAGAACACAATTTTAACAGTAATCATCTTGTCTAGTTACATTTTGTTTGTTATCATCTGTTTGTTTACCTGAATTCGCCGATGGGAAAATGTAATATTTTTAAGTGCATAAAACTCGAAACATTTTGCTTTTTAAAATAACGAATCCCCTAGAGGGGGGCTGCACACTTTAGTCAAGAAATATGATACTGTCTTACAGACTTCGATGATCTGGAGATATCTTCTGATTATATCCTGGTGAACTAATCCGTGCATCATTGCTGTCTTATTGACTGAGACGATCAGATAATGATCTATAATTACCGTATTCAACGTAATAATCGCCCAGGGCGCTCTCGAAATTAGAAGTAGGGGGCTCTTATTAGAATATTATTTTCCTGAAAAAAACAGACTAGAATTTTATTGCCCATAATTAATGGTGCATATAACACTTGAGTGCATATTGTATGCTTATAAATAAGTCTTGTGAACATTGATCAATCGGAAGGGGTGCTAATTGGGATTGTTCACTAGCCAATATATTAGCAAATACCGGCGTGGGCACTTGTTAGATCGGGGCGCTTATTACGTCGAATACAGTATCTGCTGTTTATATCCAGAGGGAGCCAAGTACCTGTTGATAAACTTTGCCTTTCTCCAGTGTCTGAACCCGGTCCCAGGATTGGCTGAACAAGGCTGGATCGTAGGTGCGGAATGGCCTGAAAGAACATGTGTGAAGCTGTCCATAAAATACTGTCCAAGGCCACCAGCTTATCATTGAACCTGTGAAGATTCGGGGTAGAATAAATCTTCAGCAACCCATGCTTGCTGTAAAAAGCGACCATGCTTGTCGTAAGAGGTGACGAACGGGATTGGGTGGCCATTCGCTGACTTGGTTGATGCATGTCATCGATCCCAAATTGTGTGGATTGATATTCATGATGTCAATCACTTTTACAAACCTGTAGAGGTAATGAATTCTCTGATGAAATCCTCCTTGGGGCACTTGCTCAAGAAAATCTACATGACATAGTTGTGACCATTTTCCTTAATAAAAAATATTACCACACAAAAAACTTCGTTTTTGTATGATATACGACCACCCTTATGGGGCCTCACCCCCCACGGCGCCTCACGCCAGGGGGAGCAACTCTCACCCAAATCACTTTCCATATGTCAAATGCTGACGGAATGTGGGGAAGTGGGTGGCCGTGCCCCAAGGAGGATTTCATCAGAGATTTCATAACCTCTACAGGTTTGTAAAATTCTCTTTCAGATTAAATCCTCCTTGGGGCACTTATTGCATCAAGACAGACTCCCAAAGATAATCGAGGAAGTGGCATCCATCAGCAACAGGCGTAAATAAATACATCGTATTTGATTATTCAACAGAATAAAATATTGAGTTCAATAAATGGAACCAACCTTATCGTGAGGCACCACCGTCGAAAGGCGGGGGCTAGAGACAGGGCGTGGTCAACCATATATTATGATGAAGCCTGTTTTTGCGGCTTGTTTTCATAAGTTGAGAACTCGAAACACCCCCCAACCCCCGCCCCCCGCCCCCCCCCCCCAAACTTTTTTTGAACAAGTGATATAGGGGCGTAGATCACGAGACTATAACCCGCGCTGAGCTAGGCCAGAGGGTCCCCGAGGATCGAAGGAGTGCGTGTGCAAAATACGAGTATTATCGAGTAGTAAGGACTGATATTTATCGACCGCAGAAGATAAAATCCGGACCATTACTGAGCAGTATAACCGGAGGACTGTCTAAAATCTCGAATGCTCAATCGGCTAGAGATTAGAACTTTGCCCAGTTCGGAGAACTGACTGACCAAACCGAGCACGCTCGCTTGAGTGTTTGTCGAGTTGGTAATGCTTGATGAACATGCTCGGCTGGCTCCAAACAGCCGCGGAACAGATGTCCTCAATGGGCAGAGCCGTGGCGTACGCTTGTGACGTAGCCACTGCTCTAACCGAATGAGCCTTCAACCTGGTAGGGGGGTCCCTGCCTGTAAGCGTATACGCTGTACAAATGGTTGAAACTATCCACCGCAAGGTAGATTGTTTGCTCGCAGGTGAGCCAGCCTTCCAACCGCCGTAACAGCAAAATAGTTGGTTATCCTTACGGATACCCATAGTTCTGCTGATATAGGCCTTGAGGGTCCTGCGGACATCCAAGACATGTCTTGCAATGGTCCCCAATGAGGAAGGCTGTGAAAGAGCAGGTAGCTCAAAAGGAGCCGTTCACGTGGAAGGCGTGTGCGACCTTAGGACGGTAAGAGTCCGGTAGTCGAAAACCCCGGTGGAAAACAGTTATTTCGGGATCGGCTGACACACCACAAGGAACGCCGTCTTCCAGCTCAACAGCTGCAGAGAGAGAGACAACAGATCTCGAAAGGAAGGACGGGACAGCCAATCGAGAACGATTGACAAGTCCCAAGGGGGACTGATCCGCCAGACTGGCGGTCGGATCCTGTCCACACCTGCTAAAAAGCGCTGCACTAATGGGTGTGCACCCAGAAGTGCCCCGTCGACAGGGACGTGAAAAGCTGCGATAGCTGTAAAGTACCCTCGGACTGTTGATGCGGCCAGGCCGTCATCTAGTCGCGACTGGAGGAACTCAAGCACGGCTACAAGATCTGCAGAAAAAAAATCTGCAATCCCTCTATCGACACACCAGCGCGCATAGCAGGCTTATCTATCCTCGTACTGATCGTTTGTCGAATCCCTCCGCGAAGCCAGTATTGTGTCTGCAACTCGTGCAGGAATACCGCTTTTCTGGAGGTGATTCCTGACACTGGCCAAGCCACCCATTGAATCCTGGGATTCGGGTGGAGGGCCCCGTTCTGGGATAGGAGGTCCGGTCGTAAAGGTAATATAACAGCAGGCTGAGCCAGAAACCTGAGTATTACTGGAAACCAACTCTGCGCCGACTAAAGAGGTGCCAGGAGCACAATTAGTCGTGCAGGCTGAGTGCCTAGCTGAGACAGGTCCTTGGAAATCAGAGGTACTGGGGGGGAATGCCCACAGAACTGTCCGTACAAACTAGCTGGAAGGCGTCCGGTGCCACTGACCTCGGGTCGGTGACTCGGGAGCAGAACGTTGGTGTCTGGTGGTTCACCCCAGATGCAAACAGATCCACCTGTAACGACCTGTATAATAGGGAGAAAATCCCGAAGATCCCCAGGTCGAGCCTCCACTGGTGAGGAGCGAGGATCCGGCGAGACAGAGCGTCCGCACGGACGTTGTCCATCCCCGGGAGATAAACAGGTAGCACCCTGACACTGCAAACACGAAAACGTCGTTTATTTCCGTATATGGTCATTGGACGGAAAAACGACGTTATTTGGACGTTTTCAAACCATCGTTTTTCCGTCCAAATAACGTCGTTATTTGACATCGGAATTTACTGGGAGAGAACGATATCATCAAGCTCCTCCCTTTCTTGATTGACATTGTCAATAAAGCAACAGCGTCTACCGATATTTCTACTTCTCAGATTTCATTGGTCAGTTCTCGCGTGTTAGATGACAGGCCCGCGTTTGACGCTGCACTCGAAGCGCTAAGCGGAAGTATTGAAATCAATCGTTCTGCGCATGCGTATTACTTAATGCCTTGTCTAAATTTTCCGTTCTGAGCATGCGCGTTTTCGCGTATTGTTTCCGAGATTTCATGTCACCCCTATTTGACAATGATTCATAAACACAGTCTCGTGAAAGTTCGGAATCGTACAATTCCAAACTGGTGATGCCTATTCACACTAAGGCATATTCTTCCCCCCCCCCCCCCCCCCCCCCTAAATAACCTTGACAGGAAATACTGCTGATAGCCCCTGGTCAACTCAGCCGCGCTACCGCAGAATGTTCGTCCAACTCTGCAGGGGGGCATTCAAACACACTGAAATGTTTTCGCCTTGCATCCAAGATGGTGGACAAGTGAAATCGTATGAAATTGGGCTATTATAGGTCGCTGTCTCTTTTTTGATTACCCAATAAAGTCACTTCAACATTCAATTTCCGATACCAGTAAATGAATAAGTGTGTTTAACGCTACAATTAGTCAAAGACCAACGTTGTCTGGTTTGATGACACACAATCTAACAGGTAGCACATTGTGTACACCCTATCCCCATTAAAGTCTCCACTGTGCGTATTCCTGGTGACAAAAAGGCATAATTTACCTAGGAATCTCATTAAAACATTCATGCACGGCATTCTCTACCTCTAGAAGATTATATAGTTAACATGCTTATCCAAGTCGAACTATCATGCCGCTCAAAAATCCAGCACACACACACACACACACACACACACACACACACACACACACACACACACACACACACACACACACACACACACACACACACACACACACACACACACACACACACACACACACACACACACACACACACACACACACACACACGGACCTAAATAACCTGGACAGGAAATAATGCTGATAGCCTCTGGTCAACTCAGCCGCGTTACCGCAGAATGTTCGTCCAACTCTGCATGGGGCATTCTCAGTGGCTTCAAACGCCACAATCAGTCAAGGACCAACGTTGTCTGGTTTGATGACATTATGTACACCATATCCCCATTTAAATCTCCACTGTGCGTAATCCTTGGGACGAAAAGGCCCCATGTACCTGGGAATCTCATTAATACATTCATGCGCGGCTTTCTTTACATTAAGAAGATCATAGTTAACATGCTTATCCACCTCGAACTACCATCCCGCCCAAGATGAATTTTGATTTACCAATCCCTGAAATGAAAAGACGTGCGTTACGAAGTCGTTACCAAGTCGTCATCAATATCCGTAAATGTCTGTGATATTATTACCCATCCAAAGCCGAATATATTTATTGTGCTTTCTTGACGACAAATGTCATAATTGGGATAAAACTTTTTTAGTAAAGTACAGATTCTCGTGTTTTTTTGGGTTGACTCCCGTCCGGGGTTTGAGCCCAAACTGTGAGTGAGGCACCCAATCGCCAGGAAACAAGTCAGCGATCTAATCCATTCTCAGTAAACTACATATTCTCGTAATATTTAAGGTTGAGATAATGGACGTTGATGGACAAATTAAAGCCAAAGCCTAACTTATGAATGATCGGTAATGGGCAATAGACAAGGGGCAAACGGGAGGCCGGGGTAATCAGCGCTAATTATCTGTTGGCTTCCCTTGTTACGTTTCCTTCTTTGCTATCTTTTTACTTTTGTTGTTCTTACAGGTACATGTATATGTTCTCTGCCTCATAGCATTTATTCACCCGATGAAGGGATGAGTATATACACCGAAACGTTGTGTTCCTCATAATAAAGACGTTGACATTCATATTTTTTCCTTATGTGTATCACTTCTTAATGCCCTTCAAAGACTCAATCTAGCTTTGTTTTTTAAATGTGGAGATATTTGCTTAGCATATAATATGATCATGCCTATAAACATTTGGGTCTTTGTCTGCATGAGCATTTAGACATAAATTTTATAGCTGATGACATTGCTAAATCTGCAGGGATGCAGTACACGTTATAGCAAGCTGTGATCTTTATTCACACTTTAAATATTCGAAAGGAGATCTGTATGTTTATCGTAATCTTCCGCAACTCTCACCTCCTGACCAGTTGAACTTCTTAGTGCATTCTGATGAATGAAATCTTTTGCGTTATGATAATCTCTGTTTGCTGATATATAATATGTACATATTGTAAAATATTTGAAACGTGATATTCGATGCATTCTACATATCTATTCGAACTACGTAGTCATTTTTATGCTGTACAATTCTTCTACTTCTTCTTCACACACACACACACACACACACACACACACACACACACACACACACACACACACACACACACACACACACACACACACACACACACACACACACATTCACATTAATTGTTTCATTAAATATATCATCGAGTATCAGTAAGAAACTAGAACTAACTGCCTTTGTTCTGTAAATCTCACCAAGTTTCAGCTTTCGCCTATTCCTTTGTGGAATAAGGTTTCACATTTGTAAAATGATCTCTCTTATCTGTCTGCACCATCAACTTGACTGCCCTCAGCCCCTGCAGTTTTCCCATCCCATATTGCCAAGCAGGTCACCCACAAGGAGGAATACGGCCCTCCTTCAGTCCAGCTATACTGTGCCCAGCACAATATGTTGTGAATACGTAGCCTTGCTGTGGCCAAACATTTTGTAACAATTTGGCAACAGCATATATAATTCAGTTTTATTTCAACAAAAACGGAAAAAAATCGGATCTTCTTATTTTGTGGATACCATAAAAATAAATCAAACCAATGGATCGTTTGAGCTAGCATGAATATAAAAAAGTAATTAGCAAGTCGATAGTCATAAGTCCATCTGTTGGTCCCACGTGAAATGTTCTTCATATATACTGTAAATCATGAAATTAATGCAATCATAAGACAGCACATTAATGCGAGTATAGAACCCTGGCCTAAAATGCGTCATGACATTTATGAAGGTAGCCTTGCAAAATCACTGTGGAGTCACAATTCAATAATGTACTATTGCCTGATAGACGTTCGACCGAAAAATATCATTTGCTAACTTCAACTGTTCATCTTATTTCGATTAATGTATGTTACATAGTTAATATGTTCATGGGCTTCTTCACTGAATGTATAGTGTGGAGGACTACTTCACTGTAGGATAAATATTTTAAAACGTGTACTTTTTCCTAATTTAACACCCTTAAAAGAGGCTGTAAATAATGTGGATATCTCATATAGAAATAACAAGTCGTGGTCGTTGTTTATGGAACAATAAACAACTCCTACTCGTCGTTTGTGTCTTAATTATATGACCATATACACTAGCATTATATCTTTTCATAAGCATTTCCATTACCATAAGAAACCCTTGCCAAAAGTAGCGCCAACTGCACGATTACGACAAGACCAGGAGCACCAACATATTAAAATATATACAACAGCTGTACTTGCTTATCTTTATACTTAAAAGCATCAGTGTTGTCTGTCATACAGACCCCGAAACAAATATGTCCAACACAGCCCAATATTTGGCAAAATGAAGAAGGTCTCTCGGCTCCTATTTATTATATTTTATAACTATTCTTTTATAACTGTTTTTTTTTCCGTCAAATATGTTCCTTTCAGAGATTAGATGCTATTCTAGCATCAGGTCTGTGGTACGTTCACTACATCAGAGTTGACATTAAAACGATATTTACATATATAAATACATACAGAGGAAATGCTTAGCATCTACCTTTTAAGGAAGAGTGCAGGACGACTTGCTTTTTACAGATATGTCTAGACATATATGTATGAACATTTGGATGAATATAGATATACCTCCTTATAGATAGTGTTCGTAGATGATTGTAGAACGTGCATGAAGAAAATGGAATAATTATGTGAGTAATCGGGTTAATACCACGTTTAACAATATTCAGCCATATTGCGATATTGGTTTCCAACATACAAGACGGACCATGAAATTATGACTTGAATTTGGAACTGGCTTTCTGGTGTGATGTAACACCCCATAATATCCTGTAGAAAAAGAGCTTAAAGCACGAATGTTAATTCATCAGTATATATGTATTTTGCGCAAAAGGATATTGTAGGATCGACGCTGACATGCGCATATACTAGTAACCTATTCACCATTGCTGTAATATTTAATTTATTTGTATTTTGACACATATCGATAGGAACATGGAGAGTCTGTCTGAAGATATATAGACACGCATGGGATCTTTTGGATAGTTGTACCTCACGGCTAGACTAACGCTCAGTCTCTGAAAATATATTACTTTGATTAAAACGAGAAACTATATTTAAATTTAAAGGAGCCCCAGTGGGATGGACATTTCAGCCTGAACCTGTTGAACATCTAGGCTTGTTTCATTTGGGGCTATAGCATTGCAGTGAAGCCTGGGCGGAAGAAAAAAGCTGTTTACACCCATCAGATTCAAGTCACTACTTCTCTCTCCAAACGAAAATAAAATACGAAAAATGTCAGAAGTGTTCAATCTTAATCCTTCTAATTTTCTATTTAGATACAAGTTTTAACTTTAAAGTAATTATATGTATCTCATGTTAAAAAAATGTATTATTGGTATCTGTGGTGCTGGTACCGTTTTGTCGCCATTGTGTAGCTTTTGTGGAGTTGCTATGAATATCAAATACATGTCTTGAAATATGGACTTGTAACAGAACCCATCATTGAACCATTTGCAGTCTAACCCATCTAATTGCCGTGTATGGACATATTATCCATCTACTTATACATATTTATTATGGACATGTACATAATTTCATTGCAACATATTATTTAAAAAAATACCCGTGAAGATCGGGGTTAGAATAGGCCTTCAACAACCCTTGCTTGTACAAAGGCGACTCACATCATCGGGTGGTCAGGCTCGCTGACTTGGTTGATGCATGTCATCGTATCCGAATTGTGTTGATCGGTGCTCTTGATGATCATAACTGGATTGTCTGGTCCAGACTGGATTATTTACGAACCACCGTCATATAGCTGGTATATTGCTGAGTGCGGCGTTTAACAACAAACACTCAAACAAAAACTATTATTAAACACCTTCCAACAATGAGAAATTAAACTTATATTTTCTATATATTCTGTTATATTTATAACATAATTTGATTCATAATTTAATTATTGCATTGCTTTCTTGTCTGTCATTCAATGTACATGTTCAAACCCCTAAACTTTGAATATTTGATTTTTTTCAATAATGGTTACGTTAGTGAGTTGCCTAGATCTCTCGTTTATCTCTCACACGAACAGATTAAAATAATTTGTTTTTACTATCATATTTCAGTTTATTTAATTCATAATACGAAATTAATAATTCATTTATCACAGTATAGATCATATTCGTTTATATCACTATCTGGTGTTAAGGTTTTATTGCAGAAATTGTAATGAATTCAAAATGTAGAAAGATACACAATTTGCCATTATTTGACGTTAATACTGTACAAAGTATAATATAATGATGAGAATTCCTGTAACGGACAGTATTTAAGAAAGAAATATTAGTCGATTAGTCAGATATGCCCTTCAGTAGTATTATTGTATATCTCCAGAGAGAGGTTTACATTGTAGTTCTCATTATTTGTGGATAATTCAACAAGCAAAAGTAGAAAATATATATTCTATCATAACGAAAGAATACAGAGTATACAATAACTCGCAATTGTTCAAAAGAGATTTCAAATCACAATAACATATCTTATATAAACAGAGGTGCTAATGGTTTAATCTCTACATTGTGCCCATGTTCGTGAGCCGTTGTTCTATTCAGCCAACAGCCCAAACCCGAAACAGCCCTTATCCGATTACACTGACCCAGTCCTCCAGTTCTCCATGCGATACTGTCGCTCTTGTACGTCTCCCAGTCCATAGAGAATAAATTTAAAAGGAATCCAACTCAAGTCTAGAACTATTTGTCAAGCCTAGATTGCCTCAATGCTATCAATGAAAGTAAGCGTTAATAAAAAATATTGTTCTTGGCTGCTTCAGATTATATTTTGTAGATACATATATTTAACTACGAAAATTGTACTGACGCCGGTGTCCCGGTATAAACACTCCCCCGTACAAATTCTACCCCCGGAGATTTTATACCGGTACAGATTCTCCCCCGGAGAATCTGTTGTGAAATAAAATCTCCCCCGGGCGGATATATTTCGCGCCCCCCTCAGTATTAAGTCTCCCCTCTGATTATTCGGTTTGCTGCAATGTCTTTAAGTACTATATTCTTTAAATAGTTATCTTTAATGTAAGGAGGGTTACTTTAAAAATATACTAGCCACATAAAGAAACTGTGCACGGAGAAAATATATTCTGGACTGAAATACAACACAGCAAGAACAAAATGATGCAGATGCTGTAGCAGCTGAATGATCGGACCATAAGAAAATGTCAACGGGACCTGAACAACATCTGTTACGATGACGTCAGAAGATCAAAATGGAGTAGAGGGTCAAACGACAAAGTCAAAAAGTCAATAACGGGTATGACCACCCTGTGCGTGAATCACAGCAGTGCATCGGCGACGCATGGAGTCCACCAAATGGGCATGGAAGGCCTGGGGAATGGCCTGCCATATCCTCCTCAAATCCTGTGCCAAGTCACGGACGTTATCTGGAGGATGTGGAAGCTGACGCAGACAGCGCTCCATTTCATCCCACACATGCTCTATTGGGGAGAGATCTGGAGGATTTGCAGGCCATGGCAGTAACATGACATTGTTATGGTGTAGGAAATCCATTGCGACCCTAGCCGTGTGAAGACGAGCGTTGTCCTGTTGAAATGTCAATCCCGGGCCATGACGTTGCAGGAAAGGAATGACTACAGGCCTCAGAATCTGATCTCTGTAGCCAACACCGGTGGGATTGCCCTGAACAACCACCAAAGGGGTTCGGTGCCGTGCCGTTATCCCAGCCAAAATCATCACAGAGCCACCTCCAAAACGATTTCTCTCCACAATACAGTTGCGTGCATAACGTTCTCCCAAACGCCGGTAGATACGTTGGCGCCCGTCACTTGTGGAAATGTTGAACCTCGATTCTTCTGTAAAGACAACATTTCTCCACCATATTCGAGGTTGGCGAACATGATTTCGACACCATCTTAGACGGTTGACTCGATGACGGTGTGTCAGGATGGGACGTATGGCAGGGCGTCGTGGTCGAATCCCGTACTGACGTAAACGATTCCTGACAGTGTTGGGATGGATACGCGCAGTCCAGGAATTGTCTGGGACGTCGTTACTGCCGTTTGGAACTTGTGTCGGAGATGTGTAACTCGAATCCATCTGTCCTGTCTTGGCGTCGTTACTCGGGGACGTCCTGAACGTGGTTGGTCGGCAACGTCATTTGTGTTCTGATAACGCCTCACCAATGCCGATATCGTGTTACGATGGCATTGGAAATGTGTTGCCACCTGTTGTTGCCTCATTCCCGCTCGGATCATTCCAATGGCTTCATGACGCTGTGCAGCTGTCAATCTTGGCATGATTTGCTTGTGATATGCTTGTGTCTGCGCCTGAGAAGTTTTGAATTTTTGAATGACCACAGATTATGCTTTCCAAAGTGACAGCGAATTTTGAGTTGCACATGCTGTGTACAGCTGCACAGGATGCACGTGCAGTAACACATTGCACGTCCATAGGCCCCCATCAATGACGTCATATCGCATGGCACGTGCACGAGCGTTTGAATGTCTCAAACCTATATTTCATATATGGACGGTGTGCCCTTATATCTTTATTTTCTCCGTGCACAGTTTCTTTATGTGGCTAGTATAGATTATGAAATATGGTCATAATTAATTGATATTTCAGCATATGTTATTTGGTAACTGTACCTTCCATCCTAAAATAATTATAAGACATAATCATACCAAACAAATTTGAATTAAAAATAACTTAATGTGACAAATACATGTACGGTTACTGTTGTAACTGAAATTCAGAAATCTTATTAATCCTCGCAAACATTCGGTTTTAACACGTACAAACTGTCAACATATCCACGCGCGCCTCCAGCTCAGGCTGTCCGTTATACTCTGATTTAAGATCTAAAATATATTCCTTAATACAGGCTACGATTTGAAAATGGTATCGGTGTAGGTGGGGTGAGGTGAAATGGGGTTTAACGTCGCGTCCAAGATTATTGCACTTATATAGCGACGTGCATGCACGCGTGTGCATGTGTGTGGCTGCTTGTACTAGTCCGGACTGATGCCGATTTATATGCTAGTTCACTGACATACCATGCCGCAGTTGAATGAATACCCCACTCAGACACAGTATACTGACTCCGAGCCGACCAGTCCTTGCTTTAAACATACAACATCATAACTATCTAATTCAGCAGTGATTAAATCTACTGTGTCTTTAAGACAGCGTACGTTTAGATGTATACTCTTTAAATCTGGACTATGCAAAGGTCCTGGATTCGGACTATTTTATCGCAGCAAAAGAGAAAAAGTAAAACTAAGAATGATAATCGGAAATTTTATAAGCAAAGTAACCCAAAATATAGAGAAATGTGTATCATCTTTCCGAAATGATTAGCATGTAGAATAAATTCTAAAACACCCACCGCCAGCCTATATTGAACAACATCAACCGGCATCGTCAAAGCAAAGTGCACATGTAATTGTTACAATCGGGCTGGCGGTGAATCTTAATGAAAAACACCTTGTTAAAAAGACACACCGAAACTGATTTGCATAACTGATGACCACAACATATTGAAAAATATCAAAACAGTAAAAATGATACAGTATAACCTCATAATCAATCGCCAGCTGTCAATATACAAAACAGAATAATACATCAAGATGACAGTTTTCATGTAAAGATTAAGTATTTCTAAGCAAATTAAAGATACATATATCTAGATATTGTGCATATCTTTAAGTTGCTTAGAAATACTTAATTTTTACATGGAAACTGCCATCTTGATGTATTATAATGTATTGTATATTGACAGCTTGTGATAAATTGTTACCAGATGGCTTCAGCTGGTGTAGCAGACAACACACTTTCCAACAATGGGGAAAAGGGTAAAAATATGAGTAGGCTGGTTATCATAGAGCAGACGGCTCACCAGTCTAAGATGTATTGAAAATACACACACTTAATTCTCAACCTTATCTAATGTTAATTCAACAATTTATCATATACTTAGCAGTGGGATATTCTGTTAATAATCTCTCATAATACTATTGAATGGTTATGTACATTCTATCAATGTTTATTTGTACAAAGCTGTTTTATGTATGTACAGAAGTGGGACATTAATACATTATTGTCTGTCTGTCTACAATGTATACCTTACAATTTAACCGATTACACACGCATGGCAAGTATTTATATAAACGACCGAAAAGGGAGGGGGGGGGGGGGGGGGGGGGGGGGGATATTCTGGGGGGATATTTTATTTCGTAGGTGGGGGGAGAGTTTATTTCGAGAGGGGCGGAACAGTACCGGTATAAATTCGCCGGGGGGGGGATATTTTATTCTGGGGGCGAATATATTTCGTGACAGGGTCCCGGCACACAATGACAAGTGAGGATGCCGCGCTACACTATAATGAAAATTATAATCAAGTTGACTAGCGTGTACATTACTACAGTGAACATGTACATGATCATGCCATCATAATCAAATGTCGTAATATCAAATACTAATATATTATTATGTGATGAATTTGACTATATCAGTGGTAACATGTGATATTAATATTCCATCAATTTCTTTCCTGGTTGGTCTATCCATGTCTACAAAATGAAAATAATGCAATTAAAAAGGAGCACAGAACAATTCTTAATTTCAGACTAGAGCTGTGGAAATCTAGACTTTCCAAATCATTATAGACTTGAGTTGGTCTCATTTTTTACATTATTCTCTTGGGTCTACGTCACAGCTCATGCCACACAATAACAAGACCAGTTAGTCCCCCGGCGGAGCGCCTGGATTTTGGTTATATCATCTAACATGGTCAACTCTGCTCTTAAGTAAACAAGAACCTAATTAGCGAGTGGTCCTTTATGATCATACTGGGTCTTTGTCCTTTGCTTGAACAATAATGTAACTTAACTTCTTTTATTGAGTCGTTTATTTGTAGATAATTTCGTATACAGATAATTCATCTAACATGGTAATTATAATCATAACTATTTTTCAATAATAATGGTATGCACAGTTCTTTATGTTGTTCTGTACACGGATTCCCAAGAGGCTATATTGCATCATATAGAATACTCATGGATGTGTATGCCACTGTACCAAATTAATTATGATCATATTCTATATTATTATCCCATTCAGACCCTACATTTTAACAAGAACACACAGAGATATAGTTCAGAAACACTAGACTGAATTTAATCCAATATGATTCCAAAATTATTAGATATATTTATGATTAATTTCATTGTGAAATAAGAAAACAATTGTCAAATAAATGGATTTTAATGTGAATAAAATCCAGAGGCCAAATATCGGAACCAATAACAGACCCTATCATTAAACACGATTGTTAAGGATACTGGGCGTTCAATAATTCCGCTAAACCACCATTTCACAATGGGAAAATACGGGACATAATCGGCGATATTTACTTCATCAAATGAAGATCGTATTATGTATACGATTTCGTGTTAACAGTGAGCTGACACGAAATATTAACGCACTTATCACTGTCGAAAATTTAGTGTGTGTCATTGTTTACATTTCACTGATTTGAAGAACACTTTCGAGTCTCGAAACAGCTTAAATAATGTTTTCCTTCACTAAAAGTAACAACGGACGTTATTCTCGTGACATATACTTGCAAGAGCATTCATAAAAATGCTAAGAAAAAATATTTAACAACCCGTTCTAGCGTT